CTGGTAGGAGTCACGGGTGTTGTACGTGTTTTAGGATGAAAAGAGGATCTGAACATGGTTAGCAAGCCGTCACCACGGCCAGTGAGCCTGGGCTCGTTCTAAACCTGACAGTCTAAGGAACAGAGCTCTGACAGTGCAGCTGACTCACCAGGAAGAACCAAAAGTATCATGCTGAAAAAAAAATCCCTTAAAATGGCGGTTTTGTTCCGAATTGACCGGATGTTGAGGAGAGCAACCCTGAAGAGCTGTGAAAGACTGGAATCAGGTGACTAGGGTGAATGGGCCACTTGGGCCACCGTCGGATAGCAGATGTTAGCTTGGTTCACACCCACAAAATCCACGGGTTGGTGGGGGACTTATTCCGGCGACTAGATTCCCCATAGTATCTGTGGCAGAGTGATGGAATGCAAAAGGTTCGATGACTTACGTGTAGCAACTCCGGTGGCAGGTGAGGGTTACATCCGCACAAGAAGCCGGAGGAGTTTCTGAGCGGCACTATGGAACCCTGCGTTTTCCAAGTCTGTGGCATCTCCTAGGTAACCATGGCTTGTTGGTTAAGGCCGGAAGCCTGGATCTGGCCGGGTAATGGTGTCCGGAAGCCTGGAGTCAGAAACGATAAGCAGACTTGTGAAGGCGTTGGGTAAGGTACTCTGATCATGGACCGGCTGGAATCTTCAGGCTCCACCTTGGAATCACAGAATCTGATGGCCGCAGAATACGGTACAATAATGCTTGTGACACACGAGCAGTTTCCAGAACCAACTCCAAAGTAAACCTCTTCCCCTACCTAGGAAACACCATGCCATGCGGAGAGAGCGAAGCTGCAGAGCTGGGACCGCCATAAACAGCAGATTAGAGCGCAGTCTTAGATTAGAACAGCGGTGATAGGCAAATCCAAGATTATACCGAAGTTCAATGAGGGTGAAACGATCATAGCGAATAGTTGAGCTACAATCCACCAAAGAGCAACACAGAACCAAAATAAGCAAAAACAACAGTTGGGGAAGCAGACGGCAGGTCGAGAACGCCGGCGCCATCTTGGTTTTCACACTAGAACTAAAGACTGCATACACCGGCTTTGGTCCTACTGTGTGTGTAACAAACCTGCAGAGGTAACACACCTGATACTAAAAGTCTCTGCAGGTGTGTGAGCTCCACTCCAACACGCTAACATGAAGCTGCTACTGATGGAGGATGTGCTGCATTACTGACTGAAGCTGATGGAGTGTGGAAACAGGAAGTCACCTCCTCTCTTCTTCTCTCTACAGGTGGGAGTGATGATGACCTTTAACCCTTTGACCAGGAGAGAAGACGAGCTGAGTCCTGATGATCCTCAGAGACTGAAGCAGCAGTTTGTGTTAAAAGAGACTCAGACTGGATCATGATGATGAATGTTTTATTTTTCTGGATTTTAGAGCAACGTCTTCTGCTTCTGTGTTTTTATCCCTGGGAGAAAACTTTAAATGATCAATAATTTAAATGTAAAACTTGAACAGCAACAATAAGAGCAGCTCCATGGGAGCTTCTTCAGGAAGGACCTGAGACTTTTTTCATCCATTTCCTGTGAACTGGTGATCTGTTGATGTTAAAACAGAAAAGCTGTTAGATGTTTTGACTAACATTTATCTGAATATTTGGAAGTAGAAGCAGCATCCAAACTCAGTTTCCATTTCCTGAGATATGCAGGAGTGACGTCGGTAAAAAGTATAACTAGAATGCATTCTCGGTGTAAACAGGCTTTCTGGAAGATTCAGTCGGAGGCTCTGGTCGTCCTGGCTGAACGCTGTCCCAAATACTGGTTTTGTATGAGCTGTGTTGTACAACAAAGCCCCACGCTGTCAAGGATGAAAGTGTCTCATTCTCTTGTGTTTTGACAAGGAAAAGAACCACAAACCTTCTAGCTTTTCTGTTTCTCTGTTAGATGAACATCAGTTGTAGCGTCCAGCAATGGTCAGTTTAGGTACAGCCTGACCTCTCACCATCTATTCAACATCTGGTCAGAAAGGAGACACAACATTGCATGTGTTCCTTTTAAATGAGTCTGGCTTCACACCAGCTGGGATTCACAGACTGCTAGTCTGAAAGATAAACAATAACTTTCTTCCCCCAAGGTCCCATCTGTCTGCCCCCAGAAGAAAGAAGATCCAGCACGAATCAGTTGCTAAATTCAAGAATGATTTAATAAATCAATATGAACTTCTTCCATGACTTATAATCTAGATAATCATTTAATAAATGTTTGTTTAATGCTACTTACAATCATTATATTGTAGTGAAATGCTTCATTAATTTGTGCTCAATAACTGAAGGGAAATGAGTGTTATGTTACGTCCACTAAAGCCCTTTTCAGATTGACATTCCGGAATATGTGTGGACAATTCAATCCGGTTTTTAACCGGAACTGTGTTTTCAGACACACCACTTTTGTACTGGAACTTGTCCTTTTGGAAACTAGGTGCGCACAGCATCCCCCGGTCCCCTCCTCCTCCTCCTCCTCCCTGTCCGGAACTCGACCTCACCAGTCTGAAGCAGCCACCTTGTCCGTAACAAGTCTGGACCTGTTACTAGGGGCATCGTCCGGTTAAATTACGGAAAACATTATCCGGATGTTTGTATTCAGACACAAAGGTCTTATGGACAGAGTCCGGAACATTTCCGTTTTTCATGGCCTGTTTGAAAGGGGCTCAAGACTGCCATGTGTTCAACATGTTTAGACGACAGGTCCTCACACCTGCACTCACACATAACAAGTACAGCTAAGTTAAACCCTGACAGACATAGTATTAACCCAGTCAGGACATCCTGTATCAAAGACGGTGTGTTTCTGAGTTGTCTTGGTAAAACATCTCCAAACTTGTCAGCCTCTGATTGGCTGTGCAAATAGTAACAGCTAAACCTTAAAACTAGAGCATTCTGAGAGATTCGACAGTTCTAGAGAATCGCTCAGTCCGGCCGTCTGTAGCAAAACCTGTTTAACCATCAAAGATTTTGACACGTCATCAAAACCTTCTTGCACCTGCAAAGCTGATGAGCAAACAGTTCCTGCATAAACAAGATGATACTGTTAGACTCCTTAAGAGTCTGCCAGATGCACGGTTCCATCCTGACTGTTGTGACCAGAGGTGAAAAGTAACGAATTACATTTACTCACATTACTGAGTAGGTTTTTTGTATATTTATACTTTTTAAGTCGTTTTTGAAAGCTGTTCTTTTACTTTTACTTAAGTTTTTAAAAAAGAATTGTAATTCGCTACATTTTAAATCATATCCGTTACTGAGTAAAAATAAATTGTTGACTTAATAAATTAAAAATATTACATGTAACAGCATCGGAACAGAAAGAGACACCTGCATGAGCACCGCGTCTAAACCGTGGGGGGTGTGGGTGTACACTTTTGCTCAAAAACATCAGTCCCTGTGATCCACTCGCTGTTTACCTCCTCTCCTGGGTTGAACATGCACCTTCGTGCACCGGTGTTACGTCATCAGTATTCTGCTCGGTTCGGTAACCAGACTCAGTTCCGTGTTTGAAAAGTGTTCCCTACCGCTCAGCACGGAAGCGGCAAAATAACGTTTAGCGCTTGTGGATTTCCAGCGCTTTGCTGATAAAACAGAAGACCTGCAGGCCTCTGTGAGTTAAAACATCCTGATACTGTTCAGGTGTAAACATTGTGCTCCATCCCTGTGTTTGAACTCAGAAGATGCTTCTTGATGCCACAGATATGTGATGATTTAGCTTGTTTCTTTATTTTACTCCAGAATACGAGATTAAAGTATTACTAAAGCAGTTCAGTGTAGTGAAATTAGTCATGACGTGTGTGTGTGTGTGTGTGTGTGTGCACGCAGGAGCGTGTTGTGAACTGGTGTTGTGGTTTTGCACTGATGTAACCATCTTTACACTAACAAAAATGTAACTAAGTAACTTTTACTTTGAGTACATTTTATTTACGATAATTTTTACTTTTACTTGAGTAAAAATGTAGGCAAGTGCTTTTACTTGTACTTGAGTAAAAAATTATCAAAGTATTGGTACTCGTACTTGAGTAGGAAATTGTAGTACTCTTTCCACCTCTGGTAAACATGAACTTCAAATTCATGCATTTATCTCCTCTTGTAACACTTTAACATGTTTTAAAAGGCTTGTATCATGATAAGTTACACCTCCCAGACCAAAGATAGGTCCAATATAAGATAAAACATTATCATTAACACTGCAGAGACGTCATTATTTATGAAATATGTCATTTTCCTCATGCAGTCCTACATTTGTAACACACACACACACCTTTAACCAAATAATCAGCTGATTTCACTAATGTCGGTTTTAACTCCGCGTTTCTTCTATAGATGAAGATGGAGAAATCCAATCTCCTCATTCTGTTCCCATAGGGAAATTTTCAGTTCGGATGGATGAACCGAACCGCTCAGCTACTGAAGTAACTAGATTAAAGCGCGATGAATGTTTAAAAAATGATTCAAGAAAGTTCTAAACTGCATTCGGCCACCACTGCCTTTCTTCTTGTTTCTACTCCAAACATTAGTGCTGAACTGAAGGCTTAGCCTCTCCCCACTGAAGAGTTAGCTTAGTTTTGTCGGTGATGACGTTTATGATGAAACTGATTGGATGAACAGATTTAGAATAGACGTCAATGAACCCAAAGTGGGAGTGCAATTTTCACTCATGACAAAATGGCTTGAGGTGATCAGTAAACAGTGTAAGGTTACTTGTATGCTCCACAGAAACACAACTCAGCTGAAAATTTGTGGTGTCGTTGGACATTCTCAGTTATATGGCTTTTTGTCACTCTGCACCAGGAAATGGCTGCAGGCAGTGAAACAGAAGGCAAAAAAGCCTTCTGTTTTGTATGCAGGACGATATCAATTGTTAATAGGAAGTCTTAACTCCATTTAAAAACTTTTGAAGAATTTTTTAAGACCCCGCGAATAACCTGAAATAGCCAAAAAATATGAGTCCATCCTGAATGAGAACAGTCACACTGTTGAAATGTTAGAACTCTATGTAAATGAGGTTTATTGAGCAGACATTCATTAAGTAAAACTGAATCACCTACATCCTGCAGTGACGAGGGACAAACATAACATGCGTAGCTTTGCACCAACTGGGTCTTTATATTATTCACACATGAAAACAGGTCAAGGGTGAAAAGGGTGAGCGTAGAAAACCTTCAGGAGAGTCTGGGGACATGTCAGCAGTGACCCGGTGCACTTTGAGGAAAAGAGAATCAAGCAAAGTTACAGGCCAGTATGGACGTATAATAAAGTATCTAAGCATAGTCACATTAGACATTAGAAGGAATAAGACCAACCTTTAATGACTTCTTGACACGTGACGAAACGGGCCCCCAACCCCTGCATCTGGCTAGAGAGCAAGTAGATGGCACACCCCGATTGATCACTATTGTTATGGTAAATGGCCTGTATTTAATATAGTGCCTTCTAGAGTCCTGGAACCCCCCAAGGCGCTTTACAACACAATCAGTCATTCACCCATAAATTCACACCCTGGTGGGGATGAGCTACGATGTAGCCACAGCTGCCCTGGGGTGCACTGACTGAGGCGAGGCTGCTGAGTACTGGCGCCACCAGTCCCTCCGACCACCACCAGCAGGCAAGGTGGGTTAAGTGTCTTGCCCAAGGACACAACGACAGCAACAGACTGAGCGGGGCTCGAACCTGCAACCATCCGATTACGGGGCGAGCACTTAACTCCTGTGCCACCGTCGCCCACGATCATCGCCCATTATCATCGTCAGTGGTGAATAAATTGAGCTAAATAGCAACTAAATAAAATCTTTTAGCATAATTAACAGATGCAGTGCTGTAGGCTGCACTCAAGGGTCTACACTGCATGACAGTGGTGAGCAAACCCAGTCCTTGAGCCCCACTGTTGCTGCATGTTTTCTACGTGTCCCTGCTCCGACACACCTGATTCTATATCAAGTTCTTATTTTAACACAAAGCAGCAAAGTGTTTCCCTTTTACTAACAAGTTTGTGCTCCTCCTGAGAACAGGCCCACGCTGAAGCATGTTTTACCACACGACTGCAAGGTAATTTGTGCCCAACACAAAAGTAACATGAGGTGATCTGATTGTCACACAATTACAGTACAGCGAAGCAATGATGAAGCTGAAAAATCTGCTCAGTTGGTGGCTCTTTTTCAGTCTCTTAACTTTGAAATGGCTCCAGGCAGCAAGAAGAAAGCTCTAGAGCAGTGGAACTCAATAAGCGGCCCACTGGTTCCTCTTTGTGGCCCCCCGAACCAGGCACCTTGACATTGAGAAACACCCGGTCTCAATTTGCAGAACACGTGAAAGTTATTGGGAAAGCAGGTCTGTCCTTTACAAATCCTGGAACCACTGGCGAAACGATTCATGAGACCTTTTGCAACCTACTTATTTATGCACCACATTTATGCACCCCACAAAGCACAAACTACTAGTAGAAGACAAATATTTCACTATTTAACAGCAGGCTATATATGCCACACTAATCTCTCGCTCTGTTTATAAGCTTCAAAAAAGAAATCTAAAGACAACAGCTTTAACTGCAACTCATCAATGTGTAAGTGATGAGCGACACATACGATCCTGTAGGTCTACAGGGATTTTGTGAAATAATTACAGCTTGAGGGGCACAACATTGGTGTGGCAGTCCAGAAAGAAGTGGCCCATGAGCCGGATTGTGTGTCAGGACACGTGAGTGTGTGTGTGTGTGTCTGCTCTGTCTTCTCAATCCCCAGTGAGTCGTGGAGGATGGCTGCTTATACTGAGCCAGGATTCTCTGGAGGTTTCTTCCTGTTAAAAGGGCGTTTTCCTGTCCACTGTCGCTAAATGCTTGCTTAGTAAGAGGATTGCTGCAAAGACTCTGACACTAGTCAGTGACTCGATGTAACTTGCTGGGTTCCTTATAAAGGAAACTTTTTACTGACTGGCTTAATGAACAGAACCGTATTGGAATGTTTACTATGTGAAGGTCCTTCAGATGACTCGTCGTGATTTGGCGCTTTTGACCCTTTGCACCGATGTCACCCAATCACGTGGATCTACCATATTGGTTGGCAAAAAAATGTAAACAGTGAGCAACAGAAGTACTAAACAAAGGGAAAAATTGAGCCTGAAATTGATTTGTGATTTTTAGCATTCCTTCTACTAGTTCAAGTCCATGTTCAGTTATCAGAAGAAGTAGCACACCTATAGGTGGGGATCATAGAGAGAGTCTTATTAACTAGCTTACAAATGTTAGCTTAAGTTCTCGCTGCGGCTGGTCACCGATGTACACAAGTTGCCGACTTTGCCTAAATTCACCCTGCTAGCTTTAAAAGATATGTTATAAACATGGTTTCACTTTACACTGAAGCTGATTTAACACGTAATCATACATTGGAGCAATAATAATGGAATTATTTATCTCGCATTTCACTACAGTGGACAGTACTGCACGTCCTCCGAGGTGAAAAATCCATCCATCCATCAATTTTCTTCTGCTTATTCAGTCAGGTCGTGGGGGCAGCAGCCTAAGTCGACAGGCCCAGACTTCCCTCTCCCCAGCCACTTGGACCAGCTCTTCCGGGGGAATCCCAAGGCCTTCCCTGGTTAGGTGAGAAACATAGTCCTTTTAACGTGTCCTGGGTCTCCCTTTAGGCCTCCTCCCAGTTGGAGGTGCCCAGAAAACCTCACCAGGGAGGCGTCCTGACCAGATGCTCGAGCCACCTCAACTGGCTCCTCTCGAGGATGACTGAGATTCTCACCCCATCTCTAAGGGAGAGCCCAGCCACTCTGTGGAGAAAACTCATTTTGGCCGCTTGTACCTGTGATCTCATTCTTTCAGTCACTACCCAAAGCTCATGACCATAGGTGAGGGTAGGAACGTAGATTGGCCAGTAAATTGAGAGCTTCGCATTCTGGCTCAGCTCGCTCTTCACCAAGAGTGATCGGTGCAACACCCGCATCACTGCAGACGCAGCACCAATCCGCCTATCGATCTTGCGCTCCATCTTTCCCTTACTCATGAACAAGACCCTGAGATACTTAAACTCCTCCACTTGAGGCAGGACCTCATCCCTGACCTGGAGAAGGCATTCTACCCTTTTCCAAATCAAGACCATGGTCTCGGATTTAGAGGAGCTGGTTCTCATCCCAGCTGCTTCACACTCGGCTGCAAACCGCTCCAGCGAAAGCTGAAGATCACATTCTGATGAAGCCAACAGGACCACATCATCTGCAAAAAGCAGAGACCTGATCCTCAGGCCACCAAAACGGATACCCTCAACACCTTGGCTGCACCTAGAAATCCTGTCCATAAAGGTTATAAACAGAATTGGTGACCAAGGGCAGCCTTGGCGGAGTCCAACTCTCACTGGGAACGAGTCCGACTTACTGCAGGTAATGCGGACCAAGCTCCGACACTGGCCATACAGGGACCTAACAGCCCGTATCAGAGGGCCTGGTACCCCATACGTAGACTGGTTGGGCAAATTCCCATGTACCCTCCAGGATCCCCCTAAGGGTATAGAGCTGGTCCAGTGTTCCACGGCCAGAACGAAAACCACATTGCTCCTCCTGAATCTGAGGTTCAACAATACGACAACAATATGACGAACTCTCCTCTTCAGAACCCCTGAATAGACCTTACCAGGAAGGCTCAGGAGTGTGATCCCCCTGTAGTTGGAACACACACCCCGGTCTGCCAGTCCAGTGGGACTGCCCCCCGATGTCCACAGTGATACTGCATAGCTGCGTCAGCCAACACAGCCCCACAACATCCAGAGCCTTAAGGAACTCCGGGCGGATCTCATCCACCCCTGGAGCCTTGCCACAGAGGAGCTTTCTAACCACCTCAGTGACCTCAGCACCAGAGATTTGAGAGCCCAACTCAAAGTCCCCAGACTCTGCTTCCTCACTGGAAGACGTGTCGGTGGGATTGAGGAAGTCATCGAAGTATTCTGCCCACCGATCCACAACGTCCTGAGTAGAGGTCAGCAGCACACCGTCCCCACTATAAATAGTGCTGTTAGCGCACTGCTTTCCCTCCTGAGGTGCCGAATGGTGGACCAGAATCTCCTCGAAGCCGTACGGAAGTCTTGTTTTATTGTCTCACCAAACTCCTCCCACGCCTGGGTTTTTGCCTCGGCGGCCACCCGAGCCGCATTCCGCTTGGACTGCCGGTACCCGTCAGCTGCCTCTGGAGTCCCACAAGCTAAAAAGACTGGATAGGACTCTTTCTTCAGCTCGACAGCATCCCTAAGCGCTGGTGTCCACCAGCGGGGTCGGGGGTTGCTACCACGACAGGCACCGACAATCCTGCGACCATAGCTCCGGTCGGCCACCTCAACAATGGAGGCACGGAACAGGGTCCGTTCAGACTCAATGTCCCCCGCCTCCCCTGGAACAATTTGGAAGTTCCGTCGGAACAATTATTGCTAAATATTATCTTGCATTTCATTACAATGGACGGTACAGCACGTCCATGGTGAAACATCCATCCATCCATCGAATGGGATTATCAACATAAACACATCACAATTATCCCCGTCTGTCTTCCTCATGAAATATATTAATGTTAATCTTACCCGTTATGTTTGCTGCAAATACAAAGATACTTTGAGGGCAGCTAGTCTGTTTGATTGATCGCTGCAGTTTATATCTGTCCTCAATGTCCGAAGTTATTTGAAGAAGAACGGTCTTTCTGCCATCCACTATGTCAAAGGAGGGGTCCCATGAGTGGCGTAACATCATGAACAAAGGGTCAGTATAAATAAACTGAATTGAATTGCATAAGGACCTGATCTAGACTTAAGGACAGCCAGCAGGGGTCAAAGAAAACATCTACAAAGGTCCATTTTTGGTTCTTTTGAAGTTAAATTGGTTCTTTCAGTCCTGAATGGATACTTATGTGGCTGTTTAAACTTGATTTATGACTAAATGCTTGTCCGCAAATCTCACACGCATAAGGTTTCTCTCCTGTATGGACTCTCATGTGTCTGTTTAAACTTGGCTTATGACTAAACGTTTGTTCACAGAGCTCACAGGAATAAGGTTTCTGCCCTGTGTGGACTCTCATGTGACTCTTTATATCAGTCTTTTGTCTAAATTTTCGTCCACAGAGCTCACAAGCATAGGGCTTCTCTCCTGTGTGGACTCTTACGTGTCTGCTTAAATGTGCCTTTTGTCTAAATCTTTTTCCGCAGAGCTCACAAGCATAAGGCTTCTGTCCTGTGTGGGCTTTTATGTGATCTTTTAAATTTGACTTATGACCAAATCTTTTTTCACAGAGCTCACAAGCAAAGGGCTTCTGTCCTGTGTGGACTATCATGTGACTCTTTAAATGTATATTTTGTCTAAATGTTTGTCCACAGATCTCACAAGCATAAGACTTCTGCCCTGTGTGGAGTCCTAAGTGACCTTTTAAACTTGACTTATGACCAAATCTTTTTCCACAGAACTCACAGGCATACGGCTTCTGTCCTGTGTGGACTCTCATGTGAACTTGTAAATTTGACTTACGATCAAACCTTTTCTCACAGAGCTCACAGGAATAAGGCTTCTGTCCAGTGTGAACTCTCATGTGACTGTTTAAACTAGCGTTTTGGCTAAATCTTTGTCCACAAAACTCACAGGAAAAAAGTTTCTGTTCTTTGTGGACTCTCTTGAGTTTCTTTAAAGTTGACTTAAGACTAAAACTTTGTCCCCAGAGCACACGAGCAAGACGCTTCTGTCCTGTGTGGACTTTCATGTGACAGTTTAAATGTGTCTTTTGGCTAAACCTTTGTCCACACAGCTCACAGGCAAAAGGCTTATGTCCTGTGTGGACTGTCATGTGACTGTTTAAATGTGTCTTTCGGCTAAATCTTTGTCCACAGAGCTCACAGGAAAATGGTTTCTGTCCTGTGTGAATGCTCATGTGACTACTTAAATTAGACTTTCGGCTGAATCGTAGTTCACAGAGTTCACAGGCAAAAGGCTTCATTCCTGTGTGGACACTTGCATGCCTGTTTAAATTTGATTTCGTACTAAATCTTTTTCCACAGTTGTCACAACTAAATGATTTTACTTCTGTCTGGACTTTCCTACATGGATCAACATGTTGCTTCCCTCCAACAGGTTTTGTATCAACCAAAATGCCCGAAGACCTCGTTGAATGACTTGTCACTCTCACATGTTTCTGGAGAGACCGCTTATGGAGAAATAGTTCACCACACTCAGAGCAGCTAAAGGATTTGTTGACAGCCCTAACATCTGACACAGAGGGCCTGGTCTCATTCCAGTCCTTGTCTCCATCTCCAGGCTCAGAGTCTGACAGCTCAGAGTCTAGAATAGCATCCACATCCTCTTCATCATCTCCACTAACTTCAGTCTCTGAAGAGTCAGATGTCTGTTTATTAGGGTTGACATCTGGGTTCCTGGTAGTTTGTGCTCCTCCACTATTTTCTGTTGTCATCAAGTCACCTGAGCTGCTGGTTAGAAAATCTATCTCTTGTGTTTGCTGCTGATGAAGCTGTGAGAACAGATGATGCTCTTCATCATCCTCACTCTTCATAGAAACTGCAGTGAATGGAAACCTGGCAGCATCAGTCTCCTTCAATGGGAGCTGCTCTTCCTCCAGGCTGGTCCTGATTTCCTCCGCTTCCTCCTTTATATGGAGGTGTTCTGGGTCCTGATCCACAGCAGCACTCCATTCTTCAGGATCTTCTTTAACCAGCACCACCAGTTGAACATCTGCAAGAAACAAGAAAAGACACAATATGAGTTATTAACCGATGTACCACATAAGTGTAATTTATAGAGGGAGAAGTTAACGCTGGTGTGCCTTTTGCTTCTGCTGTCCGACAAACTTTTGAAACTTTTTAAAATGTTTTTACTATTTTTTACTGTTTGTGCAACGCTGGATGCTGTGATTAACCAGTTTTTGTAAGGACTTTGTGCTGACTCTTGATGCACGCGCTGGCATCTGTGGTCAGATTCAGTTTGTCTGTGGCGGACTCTGGGTTCTGGGCGGATTCTTACCTGGACCGCTTGTTCTCCCGTCCCTGAGGAATGATGTGGATTTTCCAAACAACGTGTTGGCTTGTAGTCGACTGGCTCCTTCTATCCCTCGTCCACCTGCAAGCAGGCGCTCTCCTGCAGTACTCAGCTGCTGAACTTCTAAAACTCTGGCACCACGTCCACACTCTGCATCCACCGCCTGGTAACAACATGCCTCCCATCATCCCATTTCGGCCCCGTCAAATATATATCCATCACTGATCATGCCAAGGATCATCTCACTGCAATGATTCTGACTCCATAAAGCCAGCTCCCGTAAAGTCAACCAGAATACCAACCTCAATGCCCACACCAGCCTGCCTAGATCTGCTGTCTCCTCCACCAAAAACACGTCCACTGCCGTCAGCTTTGTTCTCATCATCTGCCCTCTCAGCAGCAAAGGCCATCTTGTCAAGAGACCTAATCCTGGACCACAATCTCGCATTCTTATTTCTGGTTGAAAGTTGGTAGCAGCCAAATTGGTTTAGTCAGTGTTCAAAAGTCTCCCAAACACATTAAAACAATGCAAACACAATAGTGAATACACCATCGTGGACAAGATGCGTGACTGCAATGGTGGCAGGATGCCTCAGAATTACGCTACGCCCTTTGTTGTCCTGGCGGGGAATTGTTTTGCAACAAGCCCCAGCTGACGGAGAAGTCTGAAAGCAAAATGTCTGACAATGAGTGTGTGTCTCTCCCTCGAGAAGCCAACAGGGAAGTATAAATTGGGCTTTAGGTTAGGGTTAGTTTCAGATCAAAGAAGGGGAAGCCTCCGTGTCCAACGTCTGTTATAATGCATCATGTGCTAGCTTTAGGGTTCTATATAGAGCTCATTTTTCACAATCTCGTCTCTCAAAAATCTGCATGTGGTGTGAGAGTTTTCAAGCCACTCCATGCGACCTGAGTCTCAGGTTCTACTCATGTCCATACTCCGTGGCTTCTGGAGCCGGTACTCAGCCCTCACTTCTGGGGCTCTCGAGACCCGGGTCAGCATAAACCACTTCCTAGCTGTATTGGGGCTTCCAGTGGATACCGTCCTGTTACAGCTTCATCGGCCCACCTCTATGCCCCATGAGGACTAGGCTGGAGATCAGCAAGAACTCCTCCGATTAGCTAGAAGGAATTCATTTAGGACAAAGACCTGGGAGTGTTTGTGATAAAGGCCATGGAGGGCAAAGGTGAAAGAAAAAATTTGTAGTTGAACCTGTTTAAATTTTTTTCTTTCTTTTAAGGGAGGAAGGGTTACAGCTGTTTCCGTTTGTCTCAGGCCCTGTCCACACGTAGCCGGGGATCTGCCAAAACGTAGATATTGTTCTACGTTTTGGCCTGTCATCCACACGAAAACGGATCTTTTTAAAAACTCCGGCCAAAGTGAAGATCTGCGTTTTTTCCGTTTTGGGTGTCTGCGTGTGGACAGACAAAACCGGAGTTTTAAGGTCTGCAACGTCACTTTCTGCGACAAAAAAATGCTGACATCACGTGTGCGACCTGTGTTTACACTAGCCGACAGCATGGATGCCCTCAGAGCTGCGCTCTGTCACTACCCGATCCATAAACTGTCCAAGCGCTTTTTGCTTGTTTTTGCAAGCGGAATTACATCTCCTTGCGGAAGACCACAGACGAAGGACGAGGTTAAGAACGGGGGGAGTACTGCCGCCTACAGGTCTGGCATGTCCTTAACGTATTTATCCGGGTACGTGTGGACAGTTTTCTTTAAAACGAGGTGGTGTGGATGCAAGTTTTTGGAGGGGCGGATATTCGTTTTTAAAAACCCCGGCTACGTGTGGACTAGGCCTCAGATATCTGACGCTGTTGAGGACAGTCGGTGCTTTGCCTCCTCCTCCTACCTGCACAGCTGCACTCACCTGGGCTGATCACCTCCTGAGCAACATAAAAGGGAGCTGCCAGGAGGGAGAGATTGGATCTGTGCCAGTTCTCTCATGTGCGCCATTTGTTTGCGTTTTAATGGCTTTTAAATGAGTTTTAGTTCTTTAAGCTTAGTGAAGCTTAAGAGCTTTTAGGTTTTTAACAGACGAGGGACCAGAGTGCTGGTTACCTCTTGGCTCCCAAACTTGTGTGTAAGTCAGTGGACTTTAATTGTGAATATTTGGGAGCATTCGGATGTCTGTTTTAAACGTTAACCCTTGGCCATTTTAACGGCGTTTTAAGTACTTTTAGATGTGGAGCTTTTTGTCTTTTGAAAATCCTTTTATTAAAATAATTTACAATTTTAACACCTGAAACACATGCCTCTGTGTTACCCCCTGTCCTTCTTATCCGCCGATAGAGGACGTAACACGTCCTAACTACTTACCCCTACTGCACACGGGAAGAATCAGCGGCGCGGAAAGGTTTGCTAGCGACGATCGCTGCACTCCAGTGCACACCGGGGGGAGTCTCAGCCACAAAGCGGCTTCTATGCCGTGCTCTTTGCTCGACTCGCGGGATCACGAAATCCCTCGAGTTTATGCCGTCTGCCATTAACCCAAAAAGAAGCAACTCATGTTTGATATCGCTGTTTGATGTTGTGGCTTTTCAGTATGCACCGACAGAGCAGCAACCCCAAACACTGACAGAGCAACTGTACAGCAACAACTGGTAAAAAAAAATCCTGGAGCTGCCCATGGTAACAGGTGATGACCCCTTCATTTTATATCATTTATTTATTTTATTAAGACTTAATTGAACCAGGTGCGTTTTTAGACGACATATTCTCCTTTACGAGCTGGCCAGGAGGCTGGAGCCCAAAATGAGAAAACATGTAATAACAGAAAAGCACTAAAACAATTATGAACATAAAGACTCGTTACACACAGTGTATTCTGAGTAATGACCACAGTGTTACATTATTACCAGAGGTGTGGACTCGAGTCAGACTTGAGTCATTGTTTTAATGACTTCTGACTTGATAAAACCTATAAAGACTTAAGACTTGACTCTGACTTGAACGCCAATGACTTGCGACTTGAATCGGCTTGCATCTGTTGACTTGATGATGACTTGAGCATATCTGATATTTTAGCACAAAAGTGGCACGACATGGACAAAAATCCTAAATCATTCTTGGTTCTGGGTTTGATCTTGTTCTGCTAAATGCAGCAGCACTTTGTTTAGAATCAGTTGCAGTTTCAGCTTGTTTGAGCAAATAAATGAAGCTTTAAGAAGCTTTATGTCTGGAATTTATTATCATTGTCATTAAATAGAAGTTGCACAGATGACTTGATTATGACTTGAAAATTCAAAGTTAAAGACTTGGACGGCTTTGACTTAACTGGAAAGACTTGTGACCTACTTGTAACTCGCAAAGCAGTGACTTGGTCACACCTCTGATTATTACTGTAGAGCCGTCAGCTTTAATTGTGCTGATTGATCAATAGGTTCATCTGTTAATGCAGCTTTTTCTGCTGGGACTCGTTAAAACACACACACACACACACACACACACACACACACACACACACACACACACACACACACACACACACACACACACACACACACACACACACACACACACACCTGTATTGATCCTGTCCAGATCCATGTGGAGCAAACACGATGACTGAGCCACAGCTGACCGATCCTCAGGTGTTATTTAGCATGTTTAGCTAACAGCTGCAATAGAAACAAAGCAGGAGAGCTGATGAAGATGCTACTTCAGAACAACACATGACAGTAATGACATCAGCTGAGGACAGATCCAGTCCATGCAAAAAACAAGCAGCTGCTGCAGCTTTACCATAACACCAGAATAACTTTGAAAAGTTCCACAGATATTATTGGAGTATTTTATTGTAATGAGACGCGTCCGAAGCAGAGGACGGATGGGTTTGTAGCTAGTTGACTACCTTACTACGGTACCAGAGGTTTCTTGTGTCTCCACGTGAGACTAGAATATCAGGCTAATAATATCAGCATATTTACACTCAAGTCGTCTGTAAATCCAAACATTTAAATCAAACCGTTGAAGACGTACCAATAGCTTCCTCTTCAGGCCCAGTGAAGTTCCGCATGCGCAGTGCTGCTGTGGTCTTCCTTGTGGCTCCGGCTGCAGAACTGCAGCTACACGTCAACCGCAGTTTTAGGCCAACTGCATGTTCTCGCTTCTGCAGTTTTTTTATACAGCGCCCTCTAAAGGATGAGTGTTTAACTGCACAACTGTAGGTTCAAAATATGCGTCAAAAGTGATATGTAAGCGTTAAATTTATTACATCACTGTAATAAATAATTGATCAAAGTTTTGTTCTATCTCAATGAATGATGTGTTTTGTGTAACTTTATTCACATATTTAGATCTTCCACCCCATAATGGCAGTGGTGGTACATGGCTCCTCGATCTAACGCAGGATGGAGTATGTCGATGGGACATAGACATCAGCAAATTCTTCATGTCTGCAGCCATTGGTCTGATAATTCCTCTTGAAATGTTGGAGGGGCTGCCAGGCATTCATTTTCTATTGGGAATTGCAATAAAGTTGATCTAAATTATCCTTAAGAGTAAAGTGAACAATTTATTTAAATAAAACTTGGATTTTTACTGTTGTTTGGATGGTCCTGTAAAGAATAGAATGAATAGAAGAAAATAATACACTGTGGAACAGATTTTAGACCATTTGGCACACTCATGCACAATTAAATAATAATCCAGCTTTTATCAAGTGCCCCCCTCCCCTGCATGTTTTCCATGTTTCTGCTTCAGCACACCTGATTTACATGTTTGAATTGCCTTTTCTGGAAGACATCAAGTCCTGCAAAAGCCTATTAATCATTCATTCATTTAGATCAGGTGTGTGGAAACTAGGAAACTCCTAAAACATGTAGGACGGAGGGCACTGAGGACCAGGGTTTACGAAACACTACATGAAGAAAAACCAGAGCATGGCTGCACCCCCTTCTGAGAGAGGACATGCTGCCTTGTTCACAACAAATGCTGTTCAATTTCACATGGACCAGAAATCTATGAGCCCATTTACACCAGCTATGGTGCCTCTCCCTAGGCGGCCACTTTACCGTGAGGGAGGGGTTTGAGTGTCCTAATGACCCTAGGAACTAAGTATGAGGCTATGTCTCTGGTAGGGTCACCCATGGTAAACAGGTCCAGGTGAGGGATGAGACAAAGTGAAGCTCATAGACTCCTTGTGAAGATAAACATAAATGGAAACCGTGTTTGAAGAAACACTCCTCAATGTCAGGTAACTTTATTGACACAAATGAAGGAGCCCTGCAGCCACATGTAAAGTTACACGAGCTAAGGCTAACAGCAGCATGCAACCACCACATGGGCTAACAAACATAGCTTGATGACCTAGCGTGCAGACTAACAACATATAACACAACAACAGCTTAACAAATGTGAAACAGGTGTACAGACTTATAGATACAAGTGGAAGAGTGAAATCAACACATTGCAGCATGAACGTAATGAAAGACGCTCTGCCTCACAGAAGAAAATCCTCATAAAGCGTTCCTCCACACTGCCCTCTAGTGGTACACTCTGCAGTGTTCCCTTGCCTGGACACGGGTCACCGGGGCCCCCGACTGGAGCCAGGCCTGGAGTTGGGGCACGTCAGCGAGCGCCTGGTGGCGGCTTTTATTTATGTAGCCCGGCTGGGCACAGCCCAAAGAGGAGATGTGGGTCCCCCTTTCCAAGAGCTCACAACTCGTGGAAGGCACTAAAGGGGTCGGGTGCATAGTGTGTCGGGTGGTAGCTGAAGGCAGGGACCTTGGCGGTGTGATCCTCGACTACAAAAGCTCTTGGTACGTGGAATGTCACCTTGAGAGGTTCCGGCTAGATATAGTTGGACACACCTCAAGGCATGGCTCTGGCTCCAGAACCAGTTTCCTTGAGAGGCGTTGGATTTTCTTCCACTATGGAGTTCTTCCCACTGAGAGGTGCCGAGCAGGAGTGGGCCATTTTGGTGCCTGCATGTTGGGGTTTACCCCAGTGAATGAGAGGAGAGTGTCCCTCTGCCTAAGTGTGGAAGGACAGGTCCTGACTATTTTGTGCTTATGCACCAAACTGCCGCTCAGATTGCCTACCATTTTTGGAGTCCTTGGAGGGGCCCTAGAGAGTGCTCGTTCTTGTGACTCCCTTGTTCTGCTCATGTAGGCAACCACCAGTGAGACCTGAAGAGGTGTGGTTGGAAGGAATGTCCCCTCTGATCTGAATCTGAGCAAAGTTTTGTTTTTGGACTTATATGTGCACGTCATGAATTGTCCATAACGAAGACCATGTTCACGCTTAAAGGTGTCCATACGTGCTCTTGGCACCAGGGTACCTTAAGGTGGTTTTCCAGAAACGCTACTCAGAGCAACTTGGACTGATGCAGCTCAGCCTGAACACTGTTCCCACGAGCACGAGCTATTTTTAGCCTCTGCTCTGTTAAGATACCTGATGTGGCAGTGTGAGCGTCCTGTCACAGTGTGCCGATTGATCATGCGCCCTGGCTACTTGGCCAAGGGGATGTCCCTTTGGCTGACTGGTTAGCGAGTGTGACTCTCACCCGAGAGTCTGTGGATCGAATCCTGCCCGGGCCATCGTTTCTACACCTTCTCACATTTGGCGTTGTCGGCAGGATCCATGTAGTACTGTCAAGTAGGTCCATGGATGTGAAGTTTGTGGCACCCTGCGCGGGAGCACAAGGACATGCTTGTAGACAGTGGTGGATTTAGCAATTTGGGGGCCCAAGGCAAACACAGACATGGGGCCCCTTACACTACATTTTCGACTATCTGACCGTTTAACTGGATTTGCTAAACTCTCCCCTCTTCTGACATGAGTTATTTTCCCTTTTTATTAGTCCTCCTCCTTTTTCATGTATTTCCCTCCCTTTGAGAGCTTTCAATATTTGCACAGCTTTCTTTTTCCTGTCAGTGCTCCTGTGCTTTAGCCTTTTTTTTTTCTATTTTTCATTTTGGTCCATGTTTTCCTCCCTTTAAACATTTTCCATCATCTTTCCTTTCTGCTTCCTTTTGATGTTTACATCGAAAAACGAAGTCACTTTCAGAAGTGAAAATAAAAGCTTTTTTTAAAGCAAGCTGCCTCTTTCTCTTATTGGAGCCACTAGGATAAAGGTTGGTTTATGCTTGACGCGTCCGTAAGGTCCGCACGGCTCCGCGCGGAAAAGTTGCGTCATTTTAACAACCACGCCCCTCCACCGCACGGCCCAGAATTTCCGCAACGCGCACCTCGGAAAATTTCTAACCACGCAGATGGACGGACGCGGAAAAACATGGCGGACCGGCAAGAACTAGTACGGCAGAGGTTTGTAAATACAGAAATTTGTATGATTCAGCTCTCAAAAATCACCGTGATCAACATGTTGTTCATAATTCTTGGAGAGAATTAGCTCGCACTGTCGGAAAAGACGAGGACGCTGTTAAAAATGCTGGAATGCCATGTTGTAAACAGTAGTTTCTACTTCTACTATGGTGTAGTGTTGGATGCATGCCGTAGAGCTCCATGCTGCCCCCTACAGTTTGGGAGAATATTGGCTCACCGCAGAGACGAGCCGCACGAACCATAAACGCTGCGAGTTGTGAAGCGCATTCTAGCCGCGAGCCGCATCACCGCACGGAAAGTGAATGCGTCAAGCATAAACCAAGCTTAACTCCATTTCATGCTTCATGTTTTGACTATCGCTTTGAGTTTGTTACAAAAGCTCCCGCCTCTCTTCTTCTCATCCTGCTTTCTCTTCTTCTTACTTGTGGTCTTACAGCACTTGGCAAACAACAATTTGGTGCATTACCGCCACCAACTAGATTGGAGTGGAATGACTACCAGTCACTTCCTGTTTGTGCATCGGTGTCTTAAAGGGATAGTCCATTGTGGCATTAACAGAGGGGTGCCAGCAGTCAGGGCTAGGGGGCCCCCCAACAAAAGGGGGCCCCAGGCGACCGCCGACCTATGCCTTATGGTAAAACCGCCACTGCTTGTAGAAAGAGGAGGGAAGATGTGGCAGTGTGAGCGTCCTGTCACAGTGTCCCGATTGATGATGCGCTAGTTTCTCCACCTTGCCACACTGGCAAGGCTGAGTCGGGTGACATTGTAATTCTGACCGCTGATTGGCTAGGGGGCGGAGTCATTGGCTGCTCTGGAGTTTTTTGCTTTGTTTTACTGCCTGCAGCCATTTCCTGGTTTAGTCTGACAATAAGCCATAAAACTGAGCTAAATGTCCAGCAACACCAACATCTTTAGCTGAGTAGTTTCTGTGGAGCATACAAGTTACCTTACACTGACTGTTTACTGATCCCCTCATGCTATTTTTCACAAGTAACCCCCCCCCCCCCCCCTGCATCATTTCCTGGTCCAGAGGTGCCCCATGTGATCGGCTCATAAGTAATTTGCAGTAACGAGCAGTAGGACAGGTGTACCCAATAAAGTGGCCAGTGAGCAATATGTGATTTTTAACTAAAATGTTGACAATTTTTATTCTGTTTCAGTTATCAACTTACTGTATACCACTAAATCGTCTGTCCATTATTATTTAGGGCCAGCTATATGGCATCAAAATGGGCACAGCTCCGTGTAAATAAATAAAAAACATTGTAAACTCAAAAAATAAAATTGTAAAATTAAATGAAAATTGAAAACTTGAAAAAGAAATTGTAAATTCCAACAAAAAATGGGAAATTTTAAAAATGAAATTGTGCTGCCAAACAGCCTGGATGGTCTCCTTCTCTACCTTGAGTGAGGTGAACCAGGTGGAACAAATCTTCAAGGTAATTTGGGTGAGCCAGGTACCTATAAAATGACGGACCTGCCCCTTTGTCTTGGTTATGGAACACAGTGCAAGCTGACACAACAGCAAATGTCAAAGCTCCAAAGTGATTGTACAAAATCAAGCCCTCTACAAGCTTGTGAAAGACAGCCGGTTTTCACCCGTTACTGCCTGAAGGAAAAGTTAAACAAAAGAAAATCAACTGATCCTACAGCTGTTTCTTGGGTGGAATCCAGTTAACATGTTATCGTAGAGAGCCGATCCCTTTCAAGTAGGGAATTGTACAAGAAAATTGTAAATTCAAACTAAAAACGTGAAATGTGGAAAAATAAATTGTTAATGAACAAATTAAGTAAAAAAAACATGACTGAATCTAAAATT